AGGCACGTAGACATGGTGGCTGTTCGTGTGAAAAGTCGCGTAGCGCAGATTTTGTGGGACGGAAAAGTCGCGCGTAAATCACGGAAGGTGTTCGTTAAGTAACCTACATTTCTGTGCTCTGGCTTTGATCTGCTTCTTTACCCTCCTCCTCCTGCCTCCTCTCTTCTTTTGTCACGGAAGAATATTTTTTTTCTCGCGTGACGGATACACCGTGTCTTGGGAAAAGAAAAAAAAAAACACGGCTGTAACACGACGAGCCACGAGTTTCAACTCGACCGATCGACGTCGCGTGTTCGCGAGTCGCGCGCGATTATTGGTGAAGCAATTAGAGCAACGTGGGCGGACACACGTACACATCACTCTCTCTCTCTCTCTCTCTTCCTCTCTTTCTTTGTCTTTCTTTGTCTATATATTGTCTGCGTGTATCGCAGTGTATATGTACTTTGTGTCATGCAGCCACCACGACCTTTGACTCGATCGGCAAACTCAAGATTTAGGTTACCGCTGCTCGCGACTGTTTCATGCAAATTTCCGCTCGAAACTCCATCGACTACCGGCTGCACTTAATGCAGGCGACTCTTCCCTCCTTTGTGCCTCGCGGCTATAGGCTGCGAGAGGAATAATCGCGTACGCTTCGCGGCAGAGGATCTACCTCGTCACGCAGTCGTCTCGATTCATCCAGTAAAAGTACAATAACAAGCTCCTCCCAAGAATAAATTCCTCGCGACCATTGAGTCCGAGCCGAGTGGAATTTCATAAGCTAGATAAACGATACTGTATCGAGTCTGCTTCGCGAGATGCGAGTTCGAACTTACCGTTCTGGTGCCAACAACCCTCGTGATCCTCAACTTTCGTTCGTTCGTGGTACACGCGACCTCGGAGAGCTTCCGGAGCCTCGTGCTAGCCTCGTGCCAAGTATTCCTCGAGCTTTCTCCTCGCTCTCTCGTGCATTCGCGCTAACCTACTTGGCTTGCGAGTCCGTCCTGGCTGGACCGGCTCGTCATCTGCGTCCTTTGTGATTAGGGTGGTTAATGTTGTTTACGAGCCATCATCTTCCAATGAGAGAAGCCTCATCGTCCGTGTGTTCAAAGAGAGAGTACAAATTGAAAATTCGTGTGCACACGTGAGCAGGGGAGGAGGCTTCCACAAAGTTGGAAGCGTGTCCAGAGTTTCGGTCGTGTGGTGACGAAAGACACGAAAACGTCGTAAGCTGGCGGTGGACTGGAATAAATCGATGACATCGGTCACATTCCGTTCCAGTTCAATTACCTCGGGCGATAAATTGACTCTCCGCCGATATCAAAGTCTCGGCCGTTCCCTTCGCTGCGGACCGCTCACAATCCTATCTTTCTGCCCGTTAATCGAACGGTGTCCTTTCGTTTCTTCCGTTCCTTTCGAGGCTCTCGCGCACGATCCTGAAATCGAGTGCCTCGACAAAGTTCCTTCCCAACTGTGATTGTTCGCAGAATCGAACGAGATGTTAACATTGGATCGCTTAAACCAGACTGATCAGAATTAACCAAATAATTTTGATTTTTGAAATGGAAACTTTGTAGATTCGCAATATACAGCTTTTTAGAAACTTAATCTTCACAGAGGGAATTTGATGATTTCTCTGACAGAAGGTTTCTGTCTTGGTAGTTTTAATGGCTTTTCGTAATCAAATTACTTCTTCTCCTTTACCACGTGACAAATTGAGGGCTAACAGTAATTAATTTCAACGTCTTTCAGCGGACCTGTTCAATCGCACGTCGCTGTACGAGAACTTTAGAACCTATAAAACTCGTTGGGAAGTAGATTTTTCATCGATAAATTTCCCCTTCTATAGTGTCCTTCCGCGATACCGTACGTGGTTTTCACGACGCGACAGCGAAGCAAGTTTCCCTGTCACCTGTTATCTCCTCCGCTTCTATCGACAGTCAGAACTTCAGCGTCGTTCGCACGGTGCATAAACACGGAGGACTATAGTCGACATCTAGTTTCCGAAGCTCGATAATAAGACGTTTGAGCGCGTTCACAGAGGGAGGATTGGCGATTTCGCGCGGTTGAACGCTACGTCCAACGCTGTATCACTGCTTGCTCTCCCTTTCCAGGGAGTTTCCAGTCAGTTCTGATATCTCTACAAGCGAACACGGCTCGATACGAGCGCGTATTCGTTGAATTCAGCCTCGGTGAATTCTCTCGGACGTCTGATGGCTGTTCCGGTCTTTTGGGTCTGGAAAACCCCGCTGAAAGCTAAACGAGCGGGGGCTAGAAACGTCGCGCTGCGAATTAGTTACGCGGCTGGAATTAAGTAGCTCCCCCTAAACGAAATCATAGCGAGGGCAGATAAAAGTGGAACGACGACGACGGTAGTAGTGCAATTTGCAGAAAAATCTCAACTCGGCGAAGGACGACCGACGATAGACTGAATTTTAATGGCAGACTACAGAGAGAGAGAGAGA